AATATAATGAGGTAATAAGAGCAAAATATATTAACTTTGTTATCTAAACCTAAAACTATATATGTATGTAAACTAAAAACTATTACAGGGAAAAAATATGAGCACCAATTTTGAAATTAAATGTAAAATCTAAGGATTCTTATACAGAATGAATTTCATAATACCTCGCGCTAATTTAAAAAAAAATTTCAAGTTTACATTTTACAAATTTTATTATTAAAATTTATTTTCAATATGCTTTTCCCCTACTTTAATGTGAATTAACGAATTAATGAATAAATGAGTGAGTAAACCGCGTAAACAAACCGAAATTTTTAAATATTTATACATATATATATACAATAAGAAAAAAAACAAACAATAACAAAAAATTTATTTATTTAAAATAAAATGACAATTGAATATTATTAAAGGATTTAAAAAAAAAACAGGATTTGGAAAAAATCTTTTCGGTTTCTTAAATTATTCAATACTAAGTATAGTGTATACAAAATACATGTACAATGTATGTATGACCATACACACATGAGCATTAATTATATTGTAGATTACACGGCATATATTTAAGTGTAGGTGTATTTAATTTCTAATTACATTTCATGTATAAGGAATATTGCCAGAGTATCATGTGTGTATATCCAATATAAACTATAATATATATATATAAATGTATTAATATACTATAAAATAAATTAAATAAATTAACATACATACATATGTGCATATATATATACATATATATACAAATAATAGAAATTTTGATAATATAATTTGTTGTATTTGTATACACCGCATTGTAATATTATATTGCATACACATATATAACGGTATATAATAGCTGATGTACACATTTTTAATGTTATTCAATTTTCCGTAAATCTATTTTCTGCTATAATTTGTTTTTTTTTTTTGATGGGTCTTTAATCGTTACTGGTTTCGATTGTATAATACTAATGTTTATTATATTATTTGTATTATTCACATACAAACATACATATATGCAACATTATTTTGTACATAAATAAAAAAATATTCTTTAATATTAATATAAATGTGATATATATATATATATGCATATATATAATGCATATATGGATATTCCTATACCATAAAACTTCTAACGATAAATGGTCACAATAAAATTAAATTGATCTGCGTCGTATATAACCCATGAATTTACGTTTTATCTTCTTACATTTATATATATAAAAATATATAAAATAGATTATAATATACATCTATATATATGTAGGTTGTTAGTTGGTTGGTATACAATTTATACCTATATTATGTATAACATAAAATAATGCTATTGCGGAATAAAGCTATGAAAATTTTTTTTTAGTATTTTGTATAAAACATTTAGTATAAACAAGTATATAGTAGAATAAGAAGTATTTTAGATCTAGAGGGATGAAAATAAATTGAGATTCTGAGCCCTTTAGACTTATTTTGTCAAGCTAACCCATACCGTTATATTATTTGTGTATATATAAACATATATATGGAGAAAACAAAAAAATAATAATAAAAATAATGTACAAAAGTACATAAAAATATAAACATAAAAATCAACATACAAATCATATATGTATATATATCTAGTGGCTAAAAATATATATATACATATATGTATATATTATGTAATAAAGTCTCATATATGAGAAAAAGATATGCGAATCATATTTGAACAAAATGTGTGTATATAGTGAGTGCGTTGCTTAAAGCATTTTTATTCTAAAAAAAAAAAAATTTTTTTTCTTTTTCCCTACATTATTTTGTAGAAAAGCTTAAAAAAGGATATGGTTGGGTGGATATAATTTTTATGAACAAATCATGTGTTTGCATCCCAACAATAATAACAGCAACAATAATAACAAATGGACTTCTTTAATTTATTTTTTTTATCTGTATACATACATATGTATGTATGTAAGTATAGGGACAATATATATATATATATATATATACGCGAGTGGAAATGATTTTTTCCAATTTTTGTTTTTTTTTTTTTCATTCATTTAAACCGTCACGTCTATTTTCACTTAATGAGGATTTTATTTGTTTTGTCTTTATGACTTTGGTCCTTTTAATTCCTCATTTACTTTTTAGCTTTTTCTAGCTAAAAAAAAAAATTTTTTTTTTAATACTCGTATTAAATTATATATGTATATATATATATATATATATTTATTTTTATTTTCTTGCCTTCATTTTTCTAAATCTACTGTATACATATCGGGCTAAAATAAGCAAAAAAAAAGCAGAAGAGCGATTTATTGAGGAAACAATTTTTTTACATTACAAAATACAAAATGATTGACGTTTTCTCAAAATAGAAAAAAAAAAATTGTATTTTTTTTTTTAACTCAAAACATTTGTCTATTTTTCGGTTTGTTTTATTTTTATGTTTTTTTCTTTTTTGGTTCCTTTGAATGCACAAGGTTATTTTTTCACACATTTCTTAAAAATAAAAAAAAAATTTCCACATTCAAACTTAAGAAATTTTCTTTAAAAAAAAAATTTTTTTTTCTGTGAAATTTCTTCATGTTATGTAAAATGTTTTTTTTGTTGTGGCTTTAAATTCGATTACTTTTTGTATTTGTACTTGGAAATCGTTTAAAATTTTGTTCATTCAAAATCACTTTAAATCACTATTAGATTCAAGTAACAGAAAATGGTAAACACTAGATCTAGGCAAATTTGTACAAAAAACAGAAATTCTTCATTTGGAAACTGAAGTAATTAATTTGTACCTATATTAATAAATTAAATTAAAAAATTTTCCAAAAAATATTCATTATTCCCTAATCATAATTTCTCTCTTTCTATACTCACAATATGTAAAAGGAATTGCATTTTATACAATAATTTAATTACCAATGTAAAAAGAATGGGAAATTTACGGGAAATAAACTCTAATTCTCAAAAAAAAATATTAATATTAATAAATTCATACTCAATTCTTAATAAACTATTTATAATAAAGCGAGAAACTTTTACAATTCTCTCATATTTTAAATTCAATTTTTACTTCCATACCACAACTGTATACGTTCTCATTAACAGTGTTCTTCTCACATCTCAGAATTAAATTATATGCATTAGAGTTTTGAATTTAAAATATATTTAGATTTATATATATATACACATATGTATATTGTTTCACTTTTATATATTGTTCCCAATATATGTATGTACGAGTATATTCAAACAAATTAAGAGAGATCGCTATAAAATTGAATTAATCTTTTATATTAATTGAGTTTTAAAAATTAGACATTAATATTAACTTTTATAATATTAGGTGAATATTTTTTATACATAATATGCAATTCTTATATACGTCCAATAACATAAAAAGTAGTAAATTATATAATTACGTCATAAAGAAAATAAAAAAAAAAATTAGTCATAGTTATATAAGAATATAAAAAAAAATATAAAATATTTTGGGTTCAAAACATTTTATCACTTTTATATTACTTTAATAAAAAAAACAAAAAGAAAAAACAAAAAAAACAATTTCAAAAGTTTTATACTGCATAAGACCATTATTAAGCTCATGTTCCATTAAAGTTTGTAGGTCATAAAGCAATAAACTCTATCTATACTATAATACTTGATCTTTAATTTTGACCTTTAATAAAAAGGTCAAAATTAAAATACATATTATGTACATAGATAAATAAGAAAACTGTTAGAGAGGTCGTAGTATAAAAAAAAAATTTTCTTAAAATTGCTTCTGATTTGTATTCTCTTACTTTGGATACGTAATGTAACATATGCACCACCAATACTTATACGAATATCATATACACAGCGCCGATTCTAACTTGTTTACCGCCCTACGAGGTTTCGAAAAAATGCTTCCCCTCATCCCACCACGCCAGTAAAACAAAGCAATTAGCAATATGTAATAAACGTTGTCCCCTAAAAATATGCAATCAATTAATGTCCCCTAAAAATATGCAATCATAAAAAATTTTTCAATTAATCCTGTCATATAACAAGAACTTGTTATACAATTTCTACCAAAATCTATTACAATACGATTATTTTTACATTCTATTGAAGGATTTTTTAAAAATTTTGACGAACTTTTCCTTTTTATTAATTAAAATAAATTAAACCTTTTGTTCAAAAAAAAAAAAAACAAAACACAAACCTTATACATTTGAGATTTAATGTTTTAAGTCTTTTCCTATTATTCCTGTATTTTATAGAAAATAAAAGACTTTTTCAATATATAGATTATAAATAAAGAAAGACTGTTTTTTTATAATAAATGAAACTCAAGGATTTCGACCACAATTCCTTTCTCTTGTTTATATGTACCTTTAATTTAAAAAAAAAAATTAAAAACCTTCAAATATTTGAAAAAAAATAAAAAAAATTTTTTTTTTTTCAAAAAAACCTAAAAGAAATTTTTTTTGTTTAAAATTTTGTGGCGGTGTATTTTATCGTTTCTCAAATATTATTCTCTCTTTTATGGGTAAGTACACAAATAAATTGATTTTATGTTGTTTAGACGATTGTCGTGGATACTAAAATAATGAAAAATAAATATGTTTAGTCCAAGCATACAAAAAAAAAAAAGAAATTCTCAAAAGCATCCAAAAAAAAAAATAACAATAAAAAAAAGAGATGCTTGCAATTCGCAAAATTGAAAACCACAGGTCAAATACACAACACTTTATTTTTAAAGCAAATATTTTTTTTTCTCTTTCTTTCTTTTTACTCACTCTCTCACTCTCTCTCTCTATAAATATATACATAAGTAAAAGGATTTAATTTTATTAAGTAAATAAAATTAAAAAGCAAAACAATAATAAAAAACAACAAAATATGAAAACAAAATCAAAAAAATGTTGAAAAATTATATGAGAGAGAAAAAGAGAAAAACTATAAAAACCAAAAAAATAAAAGAGAAAAACAAAATATTAACAAAGGCAATATAAATGATAAGCACCCCGGAGCAAATTAAAAATTCATCTTACCTTTGATTATGTTTTTTCTTAAATAAAAATTTTTTATTCCTTTCACAATAGGGGGCTGTGGCATTAACAGTAGAAGTAGTAAAAGTAGAAGTAGTAGTAGTAACGTTCGTTATATCTCTAAAAATGTTCTCATTTTCATTTAACGGGTATTTTATAAATTCTGAATTTTTTTTATCTTTATCAACTACGTTGACATCATCCCAATCCAAAACATTTATATTTCCAGATATACATTTATCTTCCTCTTCTTCTTCTTCTTCATTTCTTTTATTTATCTCAAAAGAATTTGCTTTTAAAGATAGTGCTGATATTAAGGATGTTGAAGGTTTTTGTATAGATGATTGTTGTAGTAGTGGGGATGATGGTATTTCTGATTTGTTAGTAGTAAATATATTTTCATTTATTATTTTACTTGGTGCTGTTGTTGTTGTTTCTTTTATGATTTCATTTTCTGACGGTGAAAATATTTTTTGTTTTTCAAAAAAATTCCTGCTGACATTAACAATAGAGCAATTGGTGTCATCAGTATCGTTTTCTATATTATTGTTACTTAAAAAAATTTCAGACGACGATGATGCTTTTTTCGATAACTGTGGTAAAAACAATAATGTTGAATTTGTTTTAGAAGAGTTTGAGAATTTTTGTAATGCCGTTGAATCAGAATCACAAATAGCTGATGAATTTTTAGATTTTGTTGTTGTTGTTGTTGTAATTGGTGGAAAACATATAATTGAATTTGTTTTACACTGTGGTTGGCCTTCCTCTTGAAATTTTATATCACCATAGGGGTTATAATTTTGTATTTTTTCATCATTTATATTATTTTTTTCATTATAATGATTATTTTTACTTTTGAAAAGAGGCGATTCTTTGATTCTTTGTATTGTAGAATTTTTTTGTTTTGAAAGAAATGTTGATGGTGATTTCAATATAATTTTTTCAAAAGAATTTTCAATATTTTCATTCTGATTTTTATTTATTTTATTTTCATTTAATGCTATTGCTCCAGTTATTGAACTATTTTCAATTGAAATATCATTATTATTTTCATTTATTTCTGTTTTTATCAGGTCATTGTTGCCACATTCATTCAATTCAAATGGATGAGGCCATTTTTTTCGTATACACCATTGTAATGATACATCTCGGATATTCTTTTGTAATGATAAATTTCCCTTTGATAATATTAAATCTTTTTGTTCCAAAGTATTATTATTATCGTTTTTTTGATTTCCTTTTACAATATAATCAGAGTGCAAATTTAAATCTTTTGAAGTATTTTTAACTGAAGATTGCAATTGATTTCTCTCAATATCAATTTCACTTAATTCATCTGTTTTAAGTTCATCGTCATTTTTTATATTGTTATTCAAAGAGGGATAAGGTTTACTGATAGAAGAAAGAGAAATATTTTTATTTTCAATATCGTTTTTTTCACCTTGCATCAATTCAATTTGTTTTTCATTTTCTAAATTTTCTGATGATGATTCACTGTTGTTGTTGTTGTTTTCAGATTTTCTATCAGAAAATTCATCAGTTCTTTTGAATTTATTCTTAGTTACTAATTGATTTTGGTTACCGGCCCTAGAATAATTAAAATCTTTTGTTAAATTTTCAAAATTTTGTCCAAACAACTTGTTAGTTAACAATACATCACAATTTTTTTCATTTTTCTTTAAATGAATTGTTGTATCTCGAGTATTATTTCGGTTCGTATTAATATCGATTTTGGAATGTACTTGATTTTTCGGGATTGTAGTCGTTTTATTTGATTTTAGGGGAGTTACAGTTGGATTAATCACAACATCTGAAAAAATTTCATTTTGCATTGTTGAAATTTTTATGTATGGAAATTCCAAAATTTTTTCACATGCACACACGTGAGGTTTTTTTTGTTTGCCAATTCTTGTTTTTTTTTTTCAAAATGTTTGAATCCAAGAAAATCTGTAGCAATTTACAGTTTATATTTGTTTCTTTGTTTTTTTTTCTTAAAAAAAATACGTTTCATTATTTTTTGTTTTATTTGATTTTTTTGTTGTTGGAAATCACAAAAAATAGATTTAAAATTGAACACACACTAACACACTTATAAAAGAAAACTATGGCGGATTGCAATGTAATTTTAGCAAAAGGGCGTCAAATCAATTGTTTCACACGAATTTTCAAAGCATTTTTATTTTATGTTTTTCGCATATATGGGAATAAAAAATACAACTAAAATGAATTGGTTATCAAGTTTATTAGAAAATGAAGAGGGGGGAAAAACAAGCAGAAATTAAATGTGGTGATCAATGCCGACTCTTATATCATGAAATAATTTTGAAAATTTGGAAAAAATTAAATTTATTTCCTTCCATTTTAAAAATAATCATCAAAATTTTTCCTTGTTTAGCAACTTTTTAACTTTTAAATCAGTTCCTAAAAAAAATGATGGAACTCTGGTTAATAATTTCCAAGCTGTGTAAACTGGATGAGAAAAGCTAATTTTCCGTATAATATGAATATTTCTTCATTTTGTGATATTTTAAGCTTAATGCACTTTGTTTTCACTTCTTGCCTTCTTTTAATTTGGAAAGATTTCCAATCGAGTTATTTCTGAATAAACAACACATGACCCATGTGGTCGATTATGCTATGTTCCACAATGTAAATTTAGCAATTTACTCAATACATTTAACAGAAACTCGCTCCCTTCCTCCCTCTATTCTATTTTGTAAACATAATTGCTTTCATCTCAAAATTATTACAATTTTCGTTAAGCATATGTTCTTAAACTAAAGCATAATTATTAAGAAATCAAAAATATTGAATAATGTATATAGAATAAGACAATTGCCATTTAATTATCCACACCGTCAAAACATAATTTTGTATACGTATTTTATGTATATCCCAGCCTTGATCTGTTTATAATTGCTATACATTCAATCAATATTAATGAATCAACAAAATGAATAAAATTCTTTTCCTTTCTGCTTAAAACAATATACATATAAAATAATAATAATATCAATATTGTATCAGTAATGATGGATCTCAGACACGGAACTTGCTATATAAAAAGAAAGTAACAAAAAACAATAATTCCAAAGAGAATTATGCGTATAATTCTTCTGTACCTATAAGTGAATTTAATCTCACGCTTCATACAAGTAAGTACAAGCAGTATATCATACACGTATAAACGAGGATATGCATAATATTTATTTAATATTACTCCATAGAACGTTCCGTATATTAACATGGTTCATTTTAAATTTTTGGACCAAACGAAAATCGAGGGTAAAACAAAAAGGGTTCATTAATAAATTTTAATATTTTTCATATATAATTTTCATTAATACATACTATATATGTATGTATGATTGAAATTTATTCAAACATGTTGTAAGTTGTTAAGCATTATTTTAAATTGCTCACGTTTTAAATTTTGTTGAAACGAAAGGATGACAATTTTTATTATAATTTTATTATAGTAAAAGGTATAGACGTTGCAGAGGTAATTTTATTTATTATTCAATTTGAAAAACTAAAGTATTTTTAAATAAAATTATCCCATGCGAATATACAAATATAAATAGACAATTCCAATTACTTCCTATATTTAAATCAAGATTACAATAAAAAAAAATACAAGAGAAAATAAAATTTTCATTTCACATGCTGTCGTTAAATTAATTAATCTCGCCTGATTCGATTCTATTTTCTAAACTAAAACCATAATAATTAAATGACATCTCTCTTTTTGTTTTCTTTTCGTTGTTTTTGTTTTTTATATTTTCCCTTTCTCCTTTATCAAAGTTTAAATTACTGTATACGTGTTTTGTATATATAACACACTGTTCAATAGTATAGAAATGAGAATGAATTAAATTAAATTTGTACACAATAATGGGATACACGTAAAAAAATTTCGAAAGTTATTTAAGGACTTGGAGTAAAATTTTCGAATAAAAGTGATTTATAAATGAGTTGGAAGTGAAAATAATTGTTAATAGGTGGATATGAGTTCCTTGAACAGTTGTTTATTTACTTTAACAATTGAGAATGCAATATTCTTAATAAAGCATTTCGGAATTATTTTTAGCTCAACAAATAAATTACTTACTACACACAGTCTGGCCGATATGATTAAATTGTTTTGACAAATTTGGGATATTCAATTAGTAGTTTTCCGAGCACAAATAATATAATTGTTTTTCAAAAGAATTTTGAAAATTTAATGACCACAAACTCATTCTGTGACTCATTTTGTTACTTACCACTTGAAAAAATGTAATTCGTAAATGAGATTTAGTTTTGAGTAATGCACTTCTCAACTAAGAAAAATGTTAGTCTCTTTCTTTTTAAAAACTTTGAGTAAGTAATCATTATTGTATAAAATTCAGCCATTTTATGTAATATAATGAGAATTTTCAAGGAGAAGAAATGAAAAACAAGGAGAAGAAATGAGAAATCAAGTTGTAAAAATGATAAATGAAATTATAAAAGAAATGACAAATAATTAAACTTAGAAATTATGAGATCCGTCTCTTTCTTGCGCGGTAACCAAAAATAAGAAGTGCAGTTCTCATTCTGTATTTCATTTTAACAGTTTATTTGTTTTTAAATTATAAAAGGGTTCGGAAACCATCCATTGCTTAACATAGCTGGTCAAGTTCCAATAACACTCATTTATTAGTTGATTCCCTATACTAATAGAATGGGAATTCATTTTTCGAACTTACTTTGAAAAGTAACAGAGTATTTAACAAAGTAAATGTATGGAATTTATTGAAAGAAACACTTTCTGAGCATATTAGAATCGAAAATTTAAAACACGAAATTCAAATTCAATTTAAACAACTACATACTTATATATATATATAGAGTATAACAAATAACATTTGCATATCGCTATATAATATACTCAATACAAATCGCTATTCCCGTTCATAAATTACAAAATGTCATGCAATATATTTAAATTTCGCTTTAGTAGGTTATTACTTTACTTTCTATTCCATATATATAACAGTTATTTGTGTTAAATATTGTTTGTTTTATTTATTTCTTCTTTCTTTTTTGTTTCTTTTTTTAAATTCCAGTTCTAAATTTTCACGAATAAAAGTAGATAAACAAAAAAAAAAAAGCTATAAGCCCCTGTCTTTTTATATAACCTATCTGTCCATTTACATTTACATATAGGTCAATGCCTCTATATTTTAAAATCTTTACACAGTGCATTTTGTTTCGCATATATAGATAGAAGCATTTTATAGATAGATTTTTTAAATTTATGCGACCAAAACAGAATTCGAAACGATTTTATTTATTAAGTTAAATTCACATATTTAAGATGTAAAACTGCAATTTATTTATTTTATTTAAGAATTCGATAAATAAATTATTGCAAAAATATTTTAAAGTATTTAATTTTAATTTATAGTTTACAGTCATCGGTTAGTGACATTAAATTTTTACATCTCTTTAAAATAATATTATTCTCAATTAAATTTTTGTTTCTCTCTTCATTAAATACTATCATAAAGGTCAATGTCAAAGACAAAATGTAAAATGCAATCATGATAATTTTAATAATAACATTAAAAACTCATACATCAATTTTTGCATAACAGTAAAATTTTTCTCATAAAAATTAAAAAACAAACTTTCTTTTTCTCATTTTTTTTTTCGTAATCTTTGAATTACTGTTATGCATAATTATAATCCTAATGTAAAATAATTTTTAATAAAATATACTCTCATGTAATTTATAATTACAATATTGCACTTGAACTTTTTATACAATTTTATTCAAAGCGCATAAAATCGTACATATACCCCATGTATATAATAATGTGTAAAAATCTAATGATGCAGTTTTCAAATTAATGAGATAAATATAAAAAAAAATATTTTATGAACGAAATGGAACGACGAACAAAAAAAAAAAATTACAGACTCTTTAACATAGGCTACAATCATTAACTGTGTTGTTCATGTAATTTTGCTGTTTTTTACTTTTTCTTCATTTTTTTTTATGACATTGGACAACCATCACTGGAAAAAAAATATAAACTTTAATATCAATATAAATACGTTAATGGATTTTAGTTTTTATACCGGTATACCGGTGATGATGACGTCTAGTCGTTTTTATTATTTGCGATCAACTTTTGGTTGATTAACACCAGATTTTTTCTTTTTCCAATTTTAATATGAAACGAAGTGGAAATTAGATCATTTCAATATATTTTTATGTTATTAACGTGGTGCGCGATGTATATAACAAGTAATATGATAATTACAGGGTCATTATTATTTCAGGGAAAAAAATTTTTTTTTTTTTTTGAAAATTGCAATTTATACTTTTAACTCTTCGGTGATTTTTTTAAATATTATTGTGATTATTTTTATAATTGCAGCTATTGAGAGATCTCTTGCAGTCTTGCGTAATATATTTTCCTATCTTACAAAAACCCATTTCATTGTCAGAAATCTTTGTATTGAATTCACTTTTAGCAATATAAGAATATTTCACGTGTCCAAGATTTGAACTAAAATTTTGAACGTGTGCAGACATTAACATTTTTAACTAATGTAACACAATTAAGTTATCAAAACACGACGAAATTAAGAATTATGTGACATGTGTTAGAATGCTATCAAAACGGTATTGTGCGCATTTTCGCCTTTCTCTCTAATTTTGTATTAATTTGTTAAAATGAATTATTTGAAGAATACCTCTATGTTAGAAAAACCGTTTGCATTGCCCTTCTTTTGAAAAAAAAACATATTATTTCATATTATCGGGAATTGGAACGACAACCTTTAACAAGACTCTTTTATATTAATGAAGACTTGTTTCATTGTTTCTTTTGTTTTATTTTTTAACATGACCTTTTACTTATATACAATCACAGAAAAATTTTCTATTAAATCCAGAACATGTGAAATTTTTTCTTGAAAATAATACTTCGCCCTCGTTTTATAATATAAGACCAGTAAAAATATTTTAAATATTTACCATATAAGTATAGGAAGAATTTTATTGAAAACTTATCGCATGATCAAATTACCATACACTAGTTATATTGAAATTAGAATATTGTGATAAATTTCATATTTGAATGAGATGATAAAAAAAAATAGAAATGCAAATTATAGTGGCATGGCATAAAGAAATTTAAATAAAAATTATGAGAATTTAGTAAACATGGAACAAAACACAAAGATAATGAATTGGTTAGAAATTATGTGTGAAAGAACAATAATTTTAATCTGCCAATTTTAACTATTCAATAT